ACCCACAAAAGGTAACATTCACCCACAGAAGACAATATGCAGGACTTGGGCAAAGTTCATGAAAAACATATAAGGTAACATTCATTGCATGAATTTGGTATTGATAGTCATTGCAACACACAAAGATTCAACCCTCACACTTTCAACACCCGCATCTCCCCTCAATCCTCATTGCAGTTGTGAGTTGTCATGACATTCAAATAGACAAAGGCGTCCATTGATGAACAGAAACGGGCAGTTATGAGACATGTAACAATTACCAATACATTGCATAAACGATTTTACCTCCATCTGCTTCTGTCATTCGTGCAATTCCTCTGAAGGCGCCGAAGATCGATTTTCTGAACTGGAATTGAGACTCTGGGGAGTAATAACTCGTCGCCTTCGACTGGTATTGCTGTGAAGGCGACGAAGATTCGTCAATTTGGGGGGAAGCTTGCAAATTAGGGGCGACGGGTTTAGGGATTTCGAAATGGGGCAGGGCGTCTAAGTTTGGCTGATTTGGGGGAAAGATGGCGTGTTTTACAGAGTGAAAACGCGTCCAACATGGGCGAATTTGACGCCGTCGACTGCCACGTCGACGACCGTGAAGCCACGTCGGATGATTTCAGACGGCGGGGATGGTGGGTGACGAACGAAGGTGCTGGTTGGTGAGTTCAGTGATGGGTTGGAGGGAAAACAAAGTTCAGTGACCAGGAGGTGATGAAGTTAGGAGTTAAGTGACCAATGAAAGTTTTTACTCCACTTTTTATATATAGAAAGACATATATATATATATATAGCAATTTGTATTTCTATAACGTTGAAAGCACACAATACCACTGTCGCGACCTATTTGTGAGCACTAGTGTTGCTCGAACACAAATCTACATCGTAGACAATTTATAATAGTACAGTATTCCAAATTGACATTGCATCCGCCTCGAAATTAATTACTTCGAATTTGAAATTTTATTTGAGTAATTCTATTTATCATCGTGGTGATGGAATATTGGTGATGTGTCAATTCATTATTCATCACATTTCTTTCTCCCCTCTTCTCTATCTCATAAAAATTGAACAGTCAAATTTCATTATTCAATATAGATTGTCACACCAATAATGGTTCATCATCATAATGATAAATAACATTATTTATTTTATTTTATGACATATTGATAAAAAAAAAATGTCAACAATAGTAGTTAGAGAATTAGCTTTCGTTGGATATTACTATATTATTTTTGTGATTAATTTTCATTTGAGTTGGCCTTCTTTTTTCTTACGTGTTCGCTACCGTGTTTGTGGAACCATACCACAATAAATGTAGTGAAGGTGGCTATAGTTTCAAGCTTAACATATGGACGGTTCGAGCTCAAATCTAAATGAGCATAGGGTCGAACCAAGCCGGGGTCTTGGGCTAGGTGGGCGCCTCGGGTCGATCCAATGGACGTGTTTGCCTCAAGAGATGGTCTCAAGTTCGAAAATTCGAGGAGGGTATTTTATGGTTTATATAAACTTCTATTAATTCTATTTCGAAAGAAAATGAGGGTTCATGGGTGACCTGGCTTGACTAGACCCCTTGTCGGTTTGGTTAGGTTCGATTCGGTCGAATTTTGTTCCAATTGCATTTTTTAAATTTATTATTTTATTTTTTTAACCTTTTCATTTTTCTAATTTTGTCAAGAAATTGGACGAAGAGGTTTTAAAGGACCGAATTCCGTACTTTAAAGGGCCTGAAACTCACAACCTGGGCAGCAAAAAGTGCTTCTCTGTAACAAGGTTATGGCGACGGCTAGTGGTAGCAGCGGGGATATCCTAATGCTGGAGGCGCCGCCGACAGCGGCGGGGACTCGTACGGAAGAGTTAATCGATGCGCTTCCGTACATCGACGATGACTACGGAAACCCGATAGTAAAAGAAGAAGTGGACCGCTTAGTGGAAGAAGAAATGCGACGTAGTTCGAAAAAGCCCTCCGACTTCCTCAAAGACCTACCTCCTCTTCAGAAATCCAAATTCCAGGTCTAAAGAATTTTCAAAATCTTGCTATATATATTGGAGTGTTCGTGTGTGTATATATGTTTTTGTACTTGTGTGGCTGGGTCTTAATGGAGATTTCGGAGTTTAAAAAATTGTTACAAGAGGGAAACAAACAATGTTGGAAGACCCAATCAATGCTTCGAATGTATTGTTTCTGGGTTCATGGGTGTAGGATAAACCTTCAATTGGTCAGTACACTGCCCTGTCAAGGCGGAAGCTGTGGGGTTAGGCCCCATCAGATTCGACAGATCTAATAAATACATCAATTCAGACGTGGTATTCGAATGTGAGGGGTGAAGTTATTACTAGAAGACTTGTTAGGTTCGAACTTGGGGTTGTTTCTTCTGAGAACACACACAGCATGTTTGGCTGAGCTCAAAGTAGCTTCGTTTGTGCTTCTTTCGGGAGTATGTAGATGTATTCCCCGAGAAGCTCCTTTTGAGCTTAGCCAAACATGCTTATAATAAAAAATTTTAGATTAAAACCCTCTTATTCTCTTTAAGCCAAAATATGACTTATTAAATGTTTTGTGTAATCACTTCCTAACTTATTTAATCTGCGAGGTATCCTAAATTCCTAATACTTCTTTAATTTACAAAAACAAATGCTGCATTTGGCAGCTTGGAGTTGAGCCTTTGAATAGCAATTATATAATAAGCGAGTTCCTATTTTAATAGAAATGGTTCTGTTTTCCAACTCAAGCTCTATTCATCATGAAGAAACCTTAAATCTAACAAGTGTGCTGGGGACTTTGTAAGTGAATTCCTTTTCAATTTTTATTTTATTAAATTTGCTTTGTGACTGTAAAGCGTACCCAATTCAACATTTTCAAGATTAGTTCAACGGATATGGGGGGGGTGGGGGCCGGGGTGGGGGGGTGTGTGTGTGAGAGAGAGAGAGAGAGGTAAAATATGTTTTTGCGCATATAATTTATGGGAATATATTCCAGGATCATCCAATGCTTGCGCGGGAATACGAGAGGGTGAGAGCTGGGAAACCTCCAGTGCTAATAGACACAACCAGATATGTGCTTGAAGTGCCACCCGTAAACAAACGGAATGATGAATCTGCATGGAAGCAGGCACTCCAGAAAGCCCAGCGTTTATTGCAGCATCAGGAGATCAGGTATTGGTGGTTGGAGGGGAAACTAGATCTTTCTCCTAAATGTGGTTATCAGAGTCTGATTATGTCATGCTAAATTGAAGATTGTAATTTATTGTCTTTCTTTAGCACTTATAAATTTTACTGTCATTCACATTATTAAAATAATCAAATAATGAAAAATACTTGTAAGTTTGTAATCACATATTTTAAATTTTAAAGTGTAGAGAATGGGATAAAAATTTAATATTTTTTTAATTCATTATGCCTGTGGAAAAGGGTGAAGGAAAAGGTGAACTTTGTTAAATATGGTCAATTTGGGTGCTTCAGAAAACAAAATAAATTTTATATATGAATATTAGGTTCAACGTTGCAAGGATTTGGGTATGAGTGTCAACTACTGCTATAACTAAGAATAAATGGAGATACAATATTTATAACATTATGATTTTCCCCTCGATATCATGAAGTGGTTGTTAGTCAAATACTGAATGTTCAAAATGACTGCCACCCTTCAAAGTAGTTATACAATATGTACATAGCATTGAACATAATTCAGAGACTCATTGTTTATATATTTTGAACACAATACTAAGTATTTGAAAATGGTCACCGCCCTTTAATCACGCGCACGCGTACACACACATTTGTTCTAGTAATGGCGTAATGGACCCATTCCCCAACTTTATAAAATGTCCATCAGTAGCATCCTAATGTGCTTAAGAGATTCATTGTTACACATTGGTTCCAAATATCTTTGTAGAGAGAAATATATAAATCAACTAAGAGGATTGGGAAGGGAGGTGTCAATTTCAAAACCTTTGAGGTTCAATTTTATTTTATTTTTTCAGTTTGTCCTCGTGCTATAAATGTCACTTGGTTGGAACATTTCTTAGTTGATCTTGGAGTTTGTCATAGAATGAAGGCAAATAGAAGAATGTGTGGAGGTTTAGTGTGAATTCTGCTCCTTTTAAGGACTATTCTGATAAATATTTAAACCTCTCAAGATAATATCAGCGTTTTAAAAATAAGCCCAGGCATTGACCCCAAAAGGTTAGGGTGTTATGCTAATTTTAACTGTTTCTAAATTTTTCAAGTTTTGGCCTCTAACTGGTTAGTGGATACGTTATGGATTCAGTTTCCTGGTTTCCTGTTTGAACTGGCTGGCTGGTACGGTTCTTATCACACTGGATAATATGCATGGCACTGCTGCACGTTTCTATCACAGCAATGACTTTCTGGGTTGATTTTTATGACATCAGTTCACCGCGTTGCATTCTGGAATTGACAACATTGCTTTTTACCCTAGTTAGATCTGTATAAGTCAAAGTCTAAATGACTGAATATTGGCTTTACTTTTGTGTGCCATCTAGGTGCAAAATATTATAATTCAAGTTTACAAATGACATCCCATAAAATCCTGTTTGAGAGTTGCGAGAGTTGAGATTATCTGTCATTTCAGCCTAAACATCATGCTCCGACTCCTGTTGTTTCATGAAATACAGCATTTTACATTTTCAAGCTGATATTCCATGTTGTCTGTTCACATTCATTTTGCTAATCTTCGCTGGCTTTATGTATTCATCTATAATAAATGATTCTTGATGTTCTCGCTTTTCTGGAATTTTGTATTTATGGCTTTAAATGTCTTTTTGTAGGCTAGAAAATCTGGACTTGATGTCAAAGCATGGTCCTGAAGTTTGGAAGCTGTATAATCAACAGTTGGAGGCATCTTTAGCAAGGTTTGTTTCTCATGTAGTACTTATTAATCTTCCATTCAAACATTTCAAGAATCTATATGGTTCTCTTCTGTATGTTCTCAAAATGCTGTTTGTGTTTGCCATTTTAGATCTTAGAGTTCAATTTTATACATTAGTGCACCTTCAGGCTTCATTTTTTTGCACTTTTGACTTTTAGATGACTCGTAATATAAGATATACCATAGGAAAACTTATTAGAAGATCAGGCTGTTGTAGGAAATTGACGGATTTCCCAATATTAGGATCAGATTCGATTTCATAAGGATGATTGTCTTTGAACATTTAGTTTAGCGTAGTTAGAATGTTCCTCTCCCTCCCCTCCCCCCGCGTTCTCCCTTTTTGTCTAGTCATAGTGGCGCTTAAAATTTCTCATTGGATTTGGGCTAGAATTTAATAAAGGTGGAAACATAAGGGAATAACTGTGGATATAGTATGAATTGGGAGTGGAAAATAGGAATGAGATGGAAATCCTGATCTCGATTCCATTCCTTAAATTTGATAGGCAGAAACTCGAGTAGGAATGGAGTGACTTTACCACACATAATCTTATCTTGAAATTTTCATAATTGTTCATGCATATAAGCTGCTTGCGTAATGTAATTATCGATCAAGTCATTTCGATTAACATAGGTACACTTTTTGAAGTGAGCAAAATTATCGAAGTAACAAATGTGATCGGTCAATCTTATTTTGAAAATATGAGCTCTAATTAGCACTTTTCGAGGAGTGGGGTTGATCCCTAATTACAATTGAACCTAAAAATTGCAAGCTGGCTAGCCATGGGTAGTGAATCTATTCTCTGTCCTTGTTTGTGTGCATACACAAATATTTGTGTGTTTTGGTAGTTGTAGGGAATGCAGCTCGTGGCAGGAGATAGCGAGCAAGGATGGAGACAGTTGAAGAGGTTTGGTGGCTGGAATGGATATCGAAATTTAAAGGGTGGGGTGGTGGTGATGGTGAGAACGCTAGGCTGCGGGAGAAAGATGTGGTGGGGTTGGTTGATGATGATGATGGCGCCTAGATGATCAGGAGGTGGGGATTGTTGTTGAAGAGCACCTGTTCCTGGCGGTGGTGGAGGAGAATGTCTGTGGGTGCAACGAGGAAAATAGTTGACTGGCTACAGTGGAGAGCTAGCGAGGAAGAGGAAGAAGGTGGTGTTTTGGGTTCTGAGGGGGACATGCCTCTTCTTTTTTGAACTTCTGTAAGACAATTTTGGCACATTAAAAATGAGTTTGTGCCCAGATGATTGGGATGGACTAATTCCGAGAGAGAGAGGGAGGGAGGGAGGGAGAGGGAGAGAGAGAGAGAGAGAGAGCTAATTCCATTACCAGCTGGTTCCCTTGTACCAAATTCCACTATATGCTATGTAGGTCGAAATGATATGATATGTGTACTTTGTTAGAGAATCTTATCCAAGTTATCCATTTTAAGCTGCACGGTTGTCAGTACCTGAACTGGTTATTGATGACAGATCACTGTTTAGACTTGTGGGATTTGATTAATTTAAAGCATTAAAATTATTCTAGATCACTACATAGCATAGTAGGCATCAACTTAGCTATCTAGACATGACATGATGACCAATACAGAGAGAATATATTTTGAAGTAATAATAGAAAGGCAAATGGCTTATTCATACGTACTATTTAACTGGTACCAATTATAAATGAGCAACACAAACTCAATTATCGTATCACAGTATGCCTTTCTCAAATCCAATTTCAAAATTGAAGCATAAAAAGTTGGGGGTTTAGCAATTTCTAATAGTGATCAAATTCGGTATCTAGACATGACATGTTGACCAATACAAAACCTGAAAATCGGCCTCAAATCCGGTCCGGTCATAATATTTTAACGGGAATAGAAAATCTTGTGAAAAAACCATTAAATCGGCTGTTCAACCGTGAACTGGAAAATTGCATCCAGATTTCACAGTTAATAAGTTTTATTTTTTTTACAAAAGATTTCAACTGTCTTGATGGGCACATGTATTGCACTGGCAAGCCCATTTCAGATTTTCTTCCTAGTGCTAATCCTTTTAAAGAGACTCCTCTTCCGTTGTCTTTATTCTGATGTGGAAAAGCTGTAGCCAAAAACATTGATCATCATAACATAGTATGCCTTCCTCAAATCCAATTTCAAAATGGAATCTTACAAAGTTGGGGTGTAACAATTTCTAATAGAGCTAAGTACACTCCCTCAGGCCCCCAGCCCCCTCCTTGGGAAACTATTGGTTACGTAAAACCTTCACTCCTGCTTTGCTACCCAATCACCCTTCCATAGGACAAACTCCTTCGACCATCACGTTAGGCATCCATCCCCTTTTACATGTGCACGTTCGCACGCACTTTCTAAAACGTGTATTTTCATGTATATATAGTTCTCGGTTTGTAATGGCCGAGGAATTGTGTTTCTTATATAAGGACTAGGGTTATGGGGCTGATTCTCTTTCTAGGTGTATATATAATATATATTCCAACATGGTCGTTCTGCCAAGTGTGGCATTGCTCTAGATTTGTTTAATTCAAATTTAAGCTGCTGTAAAAATGCAACCAAGCGTGCACGCCTCATATTGAAGTTTTCTTTTGGCTGTTGAGATACTTTAGTGATACATATCGTGAAGAAATCAAATCCTTCAATGTAATTGTCACGTGTCAGTAACATGGTGCTTCTTGTAAATGCCTTTATTCTATTCAATTTCTTATCATTATTGAGAAGCTTTAAAGATTAATAGTCTCACAACTCCCATTGCAGCTGATAATGCTTCCAGTGCTGAAGGACCTGGATAATATTATAGAATTCTTGATTGTCAATTTCTGTCCTTTGTTCTGTGTCCTTCAATTTTTCATTGTAGAATTATATGGGCACGCCTTTTTGGCAAAGGACAACACCTGGAACATCACATTCCACTAGATATTTTTCCCAAGTCTGGCTCCACGATGACAGGAGCTAAAATATATTCTGCAGGAAGCTTGGTGTTGGTCAGCTTTTAATTACTTCGGCTCTTCAATCCTTGCTAGAACTGATTGCATATCCCACAAACAGCAAAGAGTCAGTCATAAATTGGCTTTTGTAAAATTGGCTGAGTTTTTCGCCCAGAGAACATGGAGAACTAGTGCAACAAATAATTTTTATTTTTATCTGAACTGTAGATGAAGATATCATCAAAATAAGTGCCGCTAATCCAGATTTTATTATCATGCCAGAAGGAAAAATGAAAAACTAGAAAAGAAAATCCTTTTTTTTATTTATTAAATGTGTTTATTGTTTTGACTATTAAAGCTTATTTTCTCATAGTAATTTCGACTACCTTCTCGGAGTTCATTCTCCAGGGAGCTCCAAAGAACTACCTATGAATGGGTTTAAGATTTGATGAAGCAAAAACATAAAGTGCTGGATTGTTTGACAAACCAAAAGGCATCTTCATCCACTTTTATGATCACTTGTTTGTCTTGAATGCGATATTCCGTTTATCACCTTCATGAATCTAGATTTTGCAGTGGCCACTGTTAAGATAAATCTTTCAGAACACGTTAGCTCTTGCAACATATCCATGTCATCTGCCTTGCGATAAAAAAAACAACACTTAGGAGTATGTACTGTCTCAATTGTATGAACCTAATTCCTGGTTCCAATTTCTTATAAGCCTAGACAGCATGATGCCCATCTCTTGGCCCCACATGCATCTCACGAGTTAGATCTCAAATTTTGCTTTTACATGCTTCGTACTGGTGAGATATCTGTGGAGTTCTCTCTGGAAATTATTGATTTTGTGACTGCCTGTCGATACTTCACTGGTATTTATATTCGTATGATTCTAATGCTTGCTCTGTTAGAATGCAAGCACAAGTTTTGGATCTGAACGGAAAGATTGAATCTGTAAATCGAGAAAGGAAATATCACCAGGTAATCCAGAAGAATTTCCCAGCTACCACCGCACACGTGCACATGATGGGTGGGGAGAGGGAGGGATGAAGAGCAGCACTGCTGTTTTTGTATTATGAATGATTTATTTGCGTCTTCTTTAATTGGTCAGCAAAACACTGCCTATGAGCTTAGCACTTTATCTACACAATGGAGGGAACTTTGTTTCAAAAACATAGAAATCCAAGCTGCATGTGCTGAAGTCCAAGCACATATTGAAGAACTGAAGAGAGAAGCTACAGAGAGGTAATTTATGTTCTTGTTGTCTTGACCTCCCTCTTCTACATTTTATTCGTTTACAACTTTGCTTATTTTCGTAAACAGAGGCTGGAATTTGGAGGCAAATATTAATAATGGATTTCCTCAAGCTGAAAAATGAGGTACAGTTATTTAGCCTTTATGTATCTGACATTTCTGGATTCCTTGGTCTTATTGCTGATAATAGTATTTTAGAATAAGTTAATCAACAAATGGAAAAGAAAGGCTCAATAATAATGGAAAGAAATGATTTCAGCACATCAGTCCAACATTACAAGTATAGGTGCCTGATTTTGTTATTTACATAATTTATCGAGCATTCGAGACCTCCAATGTGTTTTCTTTCTTAAATAATATAAAATTGATCTCGGTGAAGTTTTTATGTTGGCAAACTCATTTCATTTTTAAGCGTTAGACTTATCAGACCGAGTTCGGTTGCTGACAAATTATCTTTGATTGTAGGTAACCTTTCTTAGATCTTACAGAGACCTATTTGATTCACATTATATGCTGAAAATAATGCATTTCAATAAGTTAGTCGAGACAATGCGTAAAATTGTGATGGGATTTTCACAAAAAAATAATTTCGGTTTCTTTATATGTTGCAGGTTTATGAAAATTATTAATCCACTCTTTAAGCTAAAGGGATCTTACCATTCATGTGCTGGACTCCTCTTGGTCAGGACAAGTTGGTTACAAGCCATTGATTAGATATATGGGAAAGATTTAGTTGTTGTTTCCCTTGTAAGTTATTGTGCCTCAATTGGAAAAGGTGAACTCTGGAGGGCATGTTTTTTGCGAGGTAGTAGAGCTCTTGACAGTATAATAAACAGAATATTAGCTCATTTTTCATCTTTAATATTTCGTACCGAACATGCCATTGGCAGTTCTTGTACTAAAATTTCAACTGTGTCGTGTTTATGAAACCTAGTTTCACTTGCCTAGAATTAAGCTTTAAAATCTGGAAGGAACGCTGCAATATATAGAAACCCAAACACTGTTTGCTTCATTTTATGCAGCCAAATAGCTTAAACTCGAAATTTGAGCAAAAATTGCTATTAGAAAATATTGTTTAGGAATGGACTAAGCCGCTATTTGGTTTTGTTAAAAATCATATTTTTATTAAATTTTCTTAAAAGTTGATAAATATTGTAGATTTTATGAAATATATAATTGAAAATGAGTTTGGAAAAAAATGAATTTTAATATATGGGATCCAAAGAGGGGCTTAGTCATTTTAGAAGAGAGGGAGAGAGAGAGAGAGACAAGACCACGCTAATTTCTTGCCTAACATGGCTGCCAGTCAATGTGAAAATGAAAGATTGAAGAGGTAAAAACAATGTTATCATAATTAGTGATATTAGCAATAATGGTGAAAAGAAATCAACATATCATCAATCAAAAATCATGTTTGAATTGAATACTTTGAGGATTGAAAAGTGAGATTAGTAAATGAACCAAATAATTAACTCAAACTACAAAAAGAGTATGCAATCTTGTTTTATCTGTTAATGTTATTTATCGGTTCAAACTAATGAGAGATAAAACGAATGTCAATTTCTAACCTATCATGGTTGGCAAGTCAAGAGGGCGTATGAAAAAATTGAAGATTCTGCAGGTACTGAAATTATTAAAAGAACACCCAATAATTTATTGAGCACCGTACAAAGTATTTGAAATAGTGGAAAGAAATGCCATCGTGGTAATATTGTTTTAAACTTATTCCCTCATTCTTGCTTGGCTTTATAATGTGACAAGTCGGTTTGAGTTAGGTTCAAGAGGTTGAATTACTATAAATTTAGTGTCACTCTTAACCCTCATTAATTATTTTATACCTTGTCGACTCTATAGCTTATTATGTCCTAAGGGTGTGTTTGATAACACCCCTTTTCCATGGAAAATGGAATATCTTTTCCTTTTCCTTGCAAATGTGTTGTTTGATGGCCAATTTTTGCCATGGAAATTATCATTTTTTTGTTCCACCTACGCGCCTACTTCCAGGCGTGAAAGGCAAAGTTTTAGGTAGGAAAACAATTTCTGGGATGTCTGACCTTTTTTTTTTAAAGCAATAGAAACAAATTTCATAACCAAGCTTTCATGGACAATTTTGATGCAAACGAAGGCCAAACACTAAACTTTGATGAAAAAAAGATTTTTTAG